GCATCTCGTGGTCCAGCCATATTTAGAATAATAAATACTAATAGATTTGATCCTTTAGCAATAATAGGCATGGTCTTATAAACTCACGTGCCATCCCCTCTGTGCTAGATGGTCTTCTGAACCCTGCTAACAATGGACAAAGTGTTGGCCTAAGAATGGTTTTGTGGAATGCAGATTCGGGTCAGCAGAACTATTTATATCGAATTCAGAAGCACGTCTCATCGGAGGGAAACTGTCTCGTCTCAGGAAAAAAAGTTTTAGTAGACATCAAAGTGTTTTATTTTGCTCCAACATTTCAAAGCAAAATTGTTTCTATTTTTTACTTTCAATGTTTCATTTCAAAGTACTTTTCTAAAGAGTAAAACATAAAGACATTTTTAAGATTTTTGTTTTGTTAGAGAAGCTAATGAAAATAGTTTAGATAAACATGAAACGAGCCACTAGCTGTCTGAGGTGTTTCTGGCTCACCTAGCAAAACAAGTATCAGTTGACCATACCATTTCATAACTTCACAGTTCACCTGGAATAAGGAACTATGAGACTTTCTATTCCATCACTCAATAAAAAAAATACTGTCAAATGGCCGTATCGTATTGATACCTGTAAATGTAAAATTTCCACTTACCAGAGTGACTGTAAATAAACTAAAGTAGATCCTTGCTGTTTTGAGAAGACAAGAAGGCTTTAAGATAAAGAGGCTCCTCAATAACGCTACTTAGACAAACTGGACTTGGTGTTTTGAGAAGGCAGGAAAGCTCTAAGATAGAGAGGCTCCCAAATAATTCTACCCCAGACAGCTCAGCCTGGGGAGGGCACAAGCACCAAGCTACAGAGAGAAAGAGGCACCAAGAGGGCAACGAGACCAGACCAAAACATCCTAGAAGGACACAGTATGCTGATCTGAGAACTGAGTCTGCGCAGAAACAAAGGTCAGCCAGCGGACACTGTGATGAGGAGTATAAGCCTTCATCTTGAGACCCCCAAAGACCACCCGAGGACGCTCACAGACATGCGTGAAAGACATTAACCTATGCTAATTAGTTCTTGGAAAAATCATTAATGAATATGTATACTGTGATTGTATTTAACCTGAAATGACAGGGTGTCTGGCGCGCACGTTTGGAGGAGAGATTCCCCGTGTGCCCGGCGCCGCAATAAGGAATACCTGCTTCATAGCCCTCTGACTATTGAGTCTGCAACTCCGGCTTTTCACGGTATCATATTAGAATGTGTGTGTCCCCACTCCTCAAAGTATAATTTTACTAAAGTTTCATTTTCTTTTTCTTCTTTTTGACAAAGTTGATATCAAATAACTCATGTCAGCAGGACTCCATGCAACCCACAGCTTGATGGCGTATTCTGAAAGGTCAGAGCTTCTGCTGTGCTTGTCTGTGTGTGCGATTATACGTGGTACTTGTCCATGGTGTATTTCTTACGATGTATGTGTATTATAATTAGAGACATATTTATATATATTTTATACAAACATTTTTATATAAAGACACTGAAGTATTGAGAATGACTATGCATTTTTGAAGCTTCTGCTTGCTGCTCTGGCTTGGTCACAGATACGTAGACAAAATAGTTTAAGAGTTTAAATGGTGTTCTTTTTCTTTTTTATTTCCTTTCCTTTCTTTTATATATTTTTTTCTAAGATTCTGTGACCTATTTGCTAAGGAAAGAGCTTACCAGTTTGTTGGGAAGGAGTCTGCCTGCCTGTCTGACTCGAACAAAGCCATCGGCTTGATCACAGTAGATGCAGCTGTTTTCCCCAGCTAGTCAGCACACTAGAAACTCTATGTCACATCGTTTCTAAAAAAATACCTTGGAGGTACAAACCCCATCATTCTTTACTTCTAAGCCACACACCAAAACCCAGGAATATTTGGGAAGCATATCAGATTTTAGCATTAACCTTTGTCACACAAGAGAAACCAAGCATTCAACCAGTCACCTCCATGACAAGAATTTCTCAAGCAGTGTTATAAGAATTTATAGGGTACTACTAATAACTATTTTTTTTCCATCCCCATCACAATTTCAACATGTGGAGTTTCTTCTGAAGAGTTCACAAACCCTGTAAGATGCTGGGACCAAACCTGGCAGCAGATGTTGTTTTGCCTGCACTGTGGCCAGAGATCAGGAGAGAAGCTACTTGGACAAACCCTCTTTCAAAAGGGTTTCAAAACTATAGCAAGCATGTCATCAGACACATTCATCCTTGTGACTTCTGCCTAATGACAGATATAACCCCAAACCGGCTCTCCAAACCTCAAAAAGTTAAGGCCATGAGCATATTTCTTCTTTGAAAAAAGCCTGAGAACAAAACCACGCGCAAAGGATGCTCCTGTGTTTGCAGTGCTGGATGAGGAACTAACAGCAACATTTTGTAATAAACTCCTCTTTTTAGGGGCTGCAGGTCAACCAGGGACAAAAA